AAATAATTATTCAATCATCTACACGTTCGCTTGCGTGCTCATTGGAAGTAGCCATTTTGAGTAGCATTCAATGCGCCGTCGTCCCGCGCCTCCTCCGCGCAGTGCCAATAGTTATGAGCAAAGGAAACGCGCAAATAATTAAGTAAATAATTAACTAATTATTTAATTTACTTAGATACATGTTCGCTTACGTGCTCGTTGAAATAACCATTTTGATTCGCATTCAATCAGTCATCGCTCCGCGCCCCCGCCGCGAAGCGCCATTGGTTGAGTGGGCAAGGGGGCCGCGCGAATAATTAGATAAATAATTAAATAATTATTTAATGTTTTACATGTTCGCGCGCGTGCCCATCGAAATAATCATTTTGATTAGCGTTCAATCCGCCATCGTTCCGCGCCCCCGCCACGCAGTGCCATTGGTTGAATGAGCAAGGGAACCGCGCAAATCATTGAATAAATAGTTAAATAATTATTTAATTATTTACATGTTCGCTGGCGCGCTCATCGAAGTAGCCATTTTTATTAGCATTCAATCCGCCATCGTTCCGCGCCCCCCCCCGCGCATTGTCAATGATTAAATGAGCAAGGGAACCACGCAAATAATTGAACAACTAATTAAATAATTATTTAATTGTTTACATGTTCGCTTGCGTGCTCATTGTAATAATCGTTTAGATTATCATCAAATCCGCATCGTTCCGCGCCTCTTCCACGCAGTGCCAGTGGTTAACTGAGCAAGGGAACCGCGCAAATAATTAAAGACATAATGAGGCAATTATCAAATTACTTACATTTTCGCTTGCGTTAATCATTTACAACATAATATGAAGTGAATGCGCTTAGCCATTCTCTGTAAAACTCCGAGCACCCACCCGGGAATACAATGCAAGAGCATAGTTTCCTGCTTTCAGAACAATAGAGAATGAAAGTGCCAAACGATTGTCTATGAGAATACGGAGCCCGACCCGAAAATTCAAAAAAAGGCCATAGCTTCCTGCTTACATAACAGTAGATGAAGATTATGCCAATCGATTCTGTCAGAATTCGGACCCCGGCCTGAAAATTCAAAAAAAGGCAATAGCTTCCTGCTTACAAAACAGAACCCCGTCTGGAAATTCAACAAAAAACCATAGTTTCCTGCCAACCAACTGGCCAACTGGCCAACCAACCGGCCAACCGGCCAATCGGCCACAACCAGCCAACGCACCGGCCAACCTGCCAACCAACCAACCAACCAACCAACCTGTTTGTAATGAAACCGGCCAATCAACCAGCCAACCGATCAACAAACCAACCAGCCAGCTCGCCAACCAACCAACGAACCGACCAACGTGCCAACCAACCAACCGGCCAGCCAACCAACCCACCAACCAACCAAACAAACGACCAAGCAACGGTGTCCGGTGTCCGGTGTCCGGTGTCCAGTGTCCGGCGTCGGGTGTCCGGTGTCCGGCATCCGGCGTCTGGCGTCCAACGTCTGGCGTCCGGTGTCTGGTGTCCGGAAACCGGGTGTCCGGTGTCTGGTGTCCGATGTCCGGCGTCCGATGTCCGATGTCCGGTTTCCGGCATCCGGCATCGGGCGTCCGGCGCCCAGCGTCCGGTGTCCGGTGTCCGGTGTCCGGTGTCCGGTGTCTGGTGCCCGGTGTCCGGTGTCCGTTGTCCGGTGTTTGGTGCCCAGTGTCCGCTTTGATGAACGGCGGATGATATCTTAGATATAAGTTGAGGACGTGAGTTACTAATCGATTTAGGCGACTTACGAAGTCGAGTTATAAGTCGACTTAGGCCGAATTAGCATAACCGACTTAGGTGATCGAATTAGGTCAGCTTATAAGTTGAGTTATAACCTAAAAGCTAAGTCGACAGCGGACTTATAAGTCGACTTATAAGTCGAAGTATAACTCGAAGTTGTCGACTTAGTAAGTCGAACCACTTCGACTTACTAAGTCGAACTATTTCGACTTACTAAGTCGAACTATTTCGACTTACTAAGTCAAGTTAGCCCCGAGTTAGTATGTCCAAAGTAAATCCTCGATGTGTGGTTTTCTATATATTCATCATGGGATTCAGTCATATACTACAGCGTTCCACACATGCGCTTACATATTTTCATTTTCGTATACACATAGTTTTGTACATATGCGCGTGTAAGGTGTGTTCACGCATTGCGATGTAGATAACGCGCGCGCACGTGCACATGCGCATGTATGCACATGCGCAATCATATGTCGATGTCGATATCGATATCGATGCATACGCGCGCCGCCTGCGATACTCTTATCAGCAGTAGCGCGGCGCGCGCCCCCCTGCCTTTTAATTGTCTGTTCTACGGGTCGCACGAGCACCCCGCGATTGAAGAGAAGAAGGAGGCGCGCCGCGCGTGTACACACGTGCGTCATTTTTCGTTGCTGTTGTTTTTTTGTAAAAAATCTTTCTTGTCGCGACACAGGCAAGGAAGAAAAGAAACGCAGAGCGGAGGCGCTGAAGGCGCGTGCACTTCACGTTCGTGAACTGTTCCACCCTTGCCCCCGCAAAATAACGGATCGTGAAACGATCTCGCTGCGCTCGCGAGCGACGTGAGCAGCCATTGCAAGAAAGGGCGCCCCTTGCAGTGAGAAGAAAAGGGAGAGGGGGGGGGGAGAGAGAGAGAGAGAGAGAGAGAGAGAGAGATGATGATGATGATGATGATGATGATGAGGATGATGGTGATGATGACGATGACGATGATGACGACGACGATGATGACGGTGATGATGCTGAGGATGACGACGACGATGATGGTAACTCGTACGGTCGCGGATTGTTCTTGCCTTAGAGAGCCTCGCCCTCCCCCTCCCCCTCCTCGCCCCACCGCGGCGCAGGACATCGATGGTCGAAGAGGACATCGATTATCGTTGCGGGGGTGTGGGTATATAGGGGTGGGGGGGGATCGGTCTGGTCGGTCGGAGCGGCGAGCGGCGCGCGCGCGCGCCGCCCGCCCCTCCGCGCAACAAGTGCCAGGCACCGCGGCCCCCCCCCGCCGCGACCGCCCTCGTCCTCCCTCTTTCCTCGCCTCCAGCTCCTCTTCCTCGTCGTCGGCATCCCCCTCTTCCTCCTTCCCCTTATCATGCCCTATCCCTCCTTGTACCAGTCATTATTCCTCCCCCTCCTCTCTTTTCCCTCCTCTCCTTATCAGTATCCTTCTCCTCCCCCTTCTCCTCCTCCTCCTCCCCCCCTCCTCCCCCCCCCCTTCCTCTTGCCATCGAAATCGATGCCATCGAACTCGATTGCCATCGAAGTCGGACCCGCAGCCGCGTAGCGCCAGGAGGGTCGCACCTCGATTTCCTGCAGCGTCCTCGATATCGAGCGCGCGATGGCGTCGTTCGCTGACGGGGTCGATGCCCTGGACGGCCTCATCGAGGAAGCACTGTCGTCAGCAGATGGGCCTGTCGGAATGGTAGATGTGATCCTCGAGAAGTTAATTTCTATTGGTATGGCTGTGTGGCTGTATCTAAAACCTCACCAAGTAGGCATCCACCCTTCAAACAGATATGATTGGGCATCAAGGCTTACGAGGTGCACAGGCTGGGGGCTAAGATCGTGAGGAACAAATTTAGTTTCGCGGCAACGGCTGGTTCAGTTTGCATCGAAGATAAGAATGGCACGATTGCACAGTATACCCCGGAGTTTCAGAGATCGTCGAATCTGTTTGGCAAATCCCCGCCCGAATCGATTATCGCAGGGAGCGTGAGCTCTGGGCATGCAAATCAGTTCCTGGTGGCTTGCTTAGAGAGAGTTGAGACGAAGGAGAAAACGTTGTCCGACATCGACGGTCGCATCAACACGGGGCAGTTCCAAAGCAAAGATAAACAATTGGAAAAGGCACTTGACACTGGGCTGAGGTGGTTGATGGTGAAAAAGGAGGCAGAGGAACGCTGGCCAAAACTTCCAGGTTTGATCCAGTCGGCAAAGCAGGCGACGGGCCAGGTGCAGAGTGAAGAAACGCATTTCGAGCTCTTGCTTCACATCCAGGCCATTGCATCCGAGCAGGGGCGCGACGGGTCCGTAATCGACTGGGCGAGGGTGAAGACCGAGGCGAGCAAATCGAAATCGAAGTGCGTTGGCGATATCGACGCACGCGCTGACTTCGTGGCGAAATATGGTGGGGGGTCCCAGGGCCAGTTCATCAAGGACCTCGTGCAGTTCGTGTCAAGGTGCGCGCCCGCTGGGCGCCTGGTGGGCGGGTGCGTGTTCGAGACATTGTGCAAGGCAAAACTCGCGGCGACGGAGATGATGCCCCACCTGGTAATGGCCGTCGTCAAGGCTCACGTGAACGGCCCCCCCGAGCCCGTGCAGAGTCGAATGTGCAGGTTTGTGACCCGCTCAGAGATCGCGCCCCTCTTCGCTAGCACGGAGGCGAAGTCTAAAGCGATGGCAGCAGAGAAGGCCCTGCGGCATCTTCATTGCGTTTCCAGGCATATCGATATCGATACGATTGAACGCATTCCGATCATAGGTAAGGCCGACCAGTTGATAGCAATGTTGTTGTTAGGGAAAAAGGTGGATGGGCGATGCGCAAACATCGAGTGCGTCGCTCACGAGTGCATCGAGGCATTGAAGGCAAAGCAAACTGGTACCATCGAGATCGACAATCCGTATACCTGCCAGTCAGCCCAGCACGACAGCGGCGCCGATGGGGACTCCGTCAAGCAGACCCCCTTCAGTGGCATGCTGCAGTGCGACGCCAGCGCGGGGGAGCTGGCGAACGCTAACATCTGCATCTTGGAGCAGAGAGGGTTTAAGGTTGATGACGCCATCAAGCTGAAGAAGGACGATGAAGGTGCAATGGCGCGACCGAGCTACGGGTGGTTTACCAGTTTCAGTGGTTCCCCCCTAACTCCCTCAAACACCTTGGACCCGTCACCCCTCTACGCCACGTAAAAACTCTTACATGTATTAGCCCCCCTGTGCATGAGTTGTGCCCTTGCACTTTCGATCTAAGAGAAACGTGGAAGATAGCTTCGATGTCGGAGGATGGCGCCCGGATTCGGGAGGCGATGCAGAATGGCTCCTTGCACCGCATCGTTATTCGGTGCCCCATTCCAAAGTTCATCGAGAAGTACTGCTTTATTACAACCAAGAGAGAGTTGCTCGCTGGGTGGCCAGATGACGCAGCTTCTAGATCTACCGATCTCGTCGCGATCAACATCAAGTCAGCAATTGCTATGGCCATGATATCTTTGACGTCGAAATTCGAAGTCGATGGGGGCGATCTGATGGCAGTCAGCAAACCCAACGTGGGCATTTTCTCTAGGAAGAAGTTCCAGGCGAAAAAGTTGATCATCGTGCCGACGGCTCTGACCATCAAGCAGTGCGGCGAGAGCGATCGCCCCTACTTCGATGTGCCCAGCCCTGATGAGAGGATCGCGGGGCCCTTCGCCCTCTCGGACCCTGGCGCTAAAGCGCCGAGCCTTGCTTTCAAGATCAGGCACGTGGACAGCACGGAGTCGACGAAGCCGAATTGCGCCATCACTAAGCACTCGGTGGCCGTATCTGTGGGCAACGCTAAAGTGTACGATATCAAGATCCCCGTAGTCACCAACGTCAGGGCTCTGAACGTTGGAGACGAGCTCACGCTTCCCAAGGTCGCGACCGCTGCCCCGAGGAGGCCCCCTCCGCCGACCGTCGAGGTGTCCACCATGAAGAAAGGAGCGCGCAGCAGGTAGACATACATGCACGCATCGATTTGCGAAGCAGTGGAGCGATGTAGAGATGAGGCATCGACATCGATCATGGACTGTTGGATTCCCATGGAGTTTTGGAGTTTTTGCAATTGTTACCACGAGATATACATAATCGTCGTCGTCGTCGTCGTCCGCTTCGTCGGCGTCATCGTCGTCGCCGTGCCCGGTTCCAAATCGCGGTCGAGCTCGAAACTTAGCGCGTTTATCCAGGGCCGCGTATACACTTAAACCGGTTACAACTTACTTAAGACGCTTAGGCTCCAAACCTTGTGTGTTTGTTCTTTCGGGGAACGCGGTTCACGACGCCGCGTCAGTCGAAAGTCGCATGCGCCTATCGCTCGACGTCGCGCGTTGCTTGTTTGGCTCCAGATGTAGATGCGCCCCCGCGCGCTTCTAGGAATGCGTCGATATCGATATCCGACACATGGTGGATGCTATGGCCTGGTGCGTGGACAAAGTTGTTCGCGTGCGCGCCCCTCACATGGCTTTGCCAGCCATTCTGGACGATTGCAGGGAGCTAAACGGTTGTGTATTCTTTCACCTCAAGAAGAGCTGCGATGTGGTGATGAAGCTTCTTGGGCATCCGCGTTCCAAGGGCATCAGGCCTCTTGTTAACATCGATTTGTCAAACATTGGAGCGCCTTAGAGATGACGCATGCAGATCGTCATTGCTAACCTCCTTGGACCAGCTTAGCGTTCACGGGATGGAGAAGACATCCTTACCGCCGCCTGGCTCCAGGACATGGAAGAAACGATTCAGGTCGAACCACGACGAGATTCAGGGCACCACAACGACGGTACATGGTCCGACCATGGGCGACATCAAGGGCATCCCTTTCAAGGTCATTATAGACAGGCCAGGCACCCCCCTGTATGTGCAGCTGGAGGAGGACCTCGTGATGCACTTGAAGGCGTGCTGCGAGTTCGAGATCAAGTCGGGAACCGTCCACAGGCAGCATCCGTCCGAGAAGGTTCCTGCTGAGCTCAAGGTCGACATTAAGGAGTATCCTGGGCTGGGCTTCTCTTACACCAAGAGCCAGTTCGTGCTGAAACGTACAGGCGATGACGGCCATGTGAGCGCGAGGTACAGGACAGCGAGCTCCGCGGCGGAGGCGATGCAGTCGTTCGAATCAGCTCAGGCAGGTGAGGACTCTCAGAGCAACGCTGGCACCTCCGACGGCGTTGCCGCCGACGACGAGAAAGCGGAGCTTGTCGAAGCCGAGGACGACTGAGAGTTTCGTGACAGGGCTGGCACGGAAAAAGAGCATCGATATCGTTCTCCTCCTCCTCTTTCCTCCTCGTCCTCCTCCTTCCTCCTTGTCTTCCTCCTTCCTCATCGCCCCCCTCATTCACCCGTCCTGTCCAAGCCCTGCTGCTCATATGATGTGGTGGAGTTTGCTCCTCTTGGACGGTCTATATCTCTACGTATATACATGGGTCTATATATTTCTACATATATATATATATCTACACATATATACAGTGTCTTTATAGATATACATATATCTCTGCGTATGGGGGGGATGTGTCTATATATCTCTACATATATATATATACACATGTGTGCAGGTACTGTGTGGCAATACTTACATGAGTGTTATATGTGTACGTACATAGGTGCACGTAGTATGTGGTAATACTTGCCTCATCGCGATTGCACTTGATATTGCGTTGGATATTGCATTGCGCCCTGGAGTTGGAGCCAGCTGCAACCGATGTCGAAGAGCACGGGTGTATCAGAAGCGGTCTCGAGCTCCCCTTATTCATATTCTAAATCCAGGCTGGAGTCCTGGTTCATTCGTCGCCCTGATGGGTTTGTCCTCGCTGGGCCCTTGGGAGTGGTGAGCTTGCTCGCCCTTGGGTTCCTGTGTCTTGGGCAGCCCTGACGGGCTTAGCTGGGTGCGGAACTGGCCTTAGCGCCTATAGGGGAGCTCAAAGTCGCTGTGCGAGCTGCTGGGCTGCAGTTGGCTTATCTTCCAGATCGACAATCGACACTCGACAATCGAGGCTGGCCCATCGACCATCGCCTACTAGCCATTGCGGCTCTTTGAGTGCACGCGCGCGCCTTCGGCTGTGCTGCAGCGCACCCTTACAACCTTCTCTTCCTGTACTCTTCCTGCGCCATGGAGGAGAGCCGCTCGATGCAGTTCGCGCAGGTCGTAGGTGTCATCACCTATGGCCAGATCCACAAGGACTTGGTGAACGGGGCCGCGCACGAGTGCGAGCGCATGGGGTCGAAAGTCATTCACTTCGACGTCAGGCGCTTGTTGACGAAAGACCCGAGCAAGACGATCGGACACAACGAGAACGGCCTTCACGCACAAACCAAGAGGACGGTGATGTCACAAGCAGGGTTCGTCGACGCGTGCAAGGACATCGTCATCGAGGTGTCGAACTACAAGATCAAGGAGTGGCCGTCGGCCCTCGTCCTGGTGGAGTGCCAGCGCGGCTCTCATCGCAGCGACACGGTGGGCCGCATGTGCAACGCGATGCTGAACTTCATACTGTCGAGGAACAAGGTCGAGGGTATGCACGTGCGCGTGTACAACTCGAAGATCTTCAACTCGGGCGAGCAGTGCGGCAAGCGCGGGCGCACCAGCATGCTGGAGAGCGTCAAGGCGTGGATGGAGCCTGGGAAGACATGGGAGCTGGCGGAGGGCGGCGAGGTGCCTTTTTCTCAGCTCTTCGCGAGCCAGGCGGTCAGGGACGACCACATGGCGTACCCGGCGTGGAAGAGCCTGTGGGACTGGGTCTACACCGAGTACCACATGGTGCGCAATGTCGGGCCCGTGCCGCCACCAGGGTCGCCGCCGCGGGCCGAGAAGTCGCGCAGGATCGGCGAGGGCGGCAAGGGCGCAGACGGCAAGGTCGGCACCAAGGGCGGCAAGGAGGTCGGCCCCGTCTACGGCAAGTCGGGGACCAGCAGTGCTTGGCGCCCAGTGGCAACGCGGGGGGTCTACGCCCGCGAGTCCGACGATGCGGAGGAAGAGGAGAGATACCAGGAGCAGGAGGAGGTGGCTGAGGAGGAGGAGGCGACGTTGATATCGAGAGGTCTCGAAAGCGTCAACATCGAGTAACCACTACCACCCGCGCTCTCGTTCTCTCCCCCATGCTCCTTCCTTCACCGTCCACATCGCCATCTCCAGTGCGGGGGGTCTACGTTTAGTTTTTTTTGCTTGGCCTTCTATTGCTTTTTGTGGCGGTCCAGGAGCCTCAGCACATACGTCTGTCTCAGTTCGCTCACACACCCAGTTATCTCGCCCACCGCCCATCTGCCCCTCATCTTGCTCCTCCTTCCCCCCCCCCCCGCTTCCCCCCCCTCGCCATCCTCTCCCTCGTCCTCATTCTGGGTGCCAAGTCTATTTTGAGACCCCCTCCGCTTGGATGTCGAAACAACTGACCCCTCCCCTCCTACGAATGAAATGGCGGCGCCAAGGCCGAGACGTTATCAGCAGTCGATCCTCGAGCAGCTGGCGAAGCCACCTCGACTGTCGACGCTAACCCATCATCTGCAACGCCAGCGAGCATGGAGGTGGAACAGAAGGCCGTGTCACGTGAACCACATTGTAGTCCAGCGTCGCCCCCCCTGGCCCTGGGTGTCCCCGAGCGGTCATGACCCCGCCCCCTGCTCCGAGTCCCTGGCCACACATATGGCCCCCGACTATCGAAATACAGGCTTGCTAATTACATCGACGTCGATGGATGGCGGCCGCGGAGGAGGCGCCTGCGGTCGCTGAGGAGGTGCAGGAGCCCGTCTGGGCCACGTTCGAGCGGGACCCTCGCGCCTGGCTCGGCCTTCTTCGTCGATACGAGATCGACGAGACGGCCCAGCAGAGCGTCTTCCTCCTGGCCCAGCTCAGCGATGAGGGTCATCGCGAGGCCAACAACGTGTTGTACAAGCTGTTCAAGAAGATGGGCGAGGGGAACCTCACGAACCCGTCGAAGTTCGTTCACAAGTGCTTGACGAACGCGCGGCAGGCCCTGGAGCAGCAGTATCACACGGGCCAGTGGCGTCGTTAGGCTGACGACGACGACGACAGTGACGACGACGAGGCCGACGACGACGACAGCGACGACGCGGCCGACGACGACGCAACCTCCCGTGCTCACGGTGCGAGGCTGCGGTGTGTATTTAAGTGCGGCGCCGCCTCTCTTCGGGGCCCCTTAGGGTGCATGGGGCCCCTTTCGCGGCTTGCTGCTGAAACGATGTCGACTTGTGTTTTCGAGTTTGATGGTCGAGGACGCGGCGGAGCCGCGCGTGGCGTCGCGCAGCGATGCACCGCAGCCACGGCCTTCGAGGACCCCGCCTAGGCCCTCGCAGCGCCGCAGATGATAAGCGCGAGGAGCAGGGCAAAGTCGACTGTCGATCTCGGCTAGAGACGGCGCCGCTGCAGATGCAAAAAACAGAGCCGCCGCGTCGTCGTCGTCGTCGTTCGTCGCCGCCGCCGCCGTCGTCGTCGTCGTTCGTCGTCGTCGGCGGCAGCGTGCCTGGCGCGCGTTCGCCGCGCACTCGTGGACGAACCCCCCCCCATCTCCTTGAACTGTTTGTACAACGCGCTGTTGGTCTCGCGATGGCCCTCATCGTGGTCGTCGTCGTCGTCGTCGTCGTCGCATCGACTATCGATGCTCCCTCGCTGATGCTCTCTCGCCGCCCCCTCCCCCACCGCCGCTGCCCTCTCGCCGCGCCGCGCGTCGCGGGCACCGTCGAGGCGAAGGCCGCCCCCCCCCGCCGAGGAGGAGGATGGGGAGTGGGAGCGGCATGAGGAGGTGGAGGGAGTGGGGGAAGCGGGGGGGGCATCAGGCTGACGAGCGATGGACCATTGATGCGACGGGGTGCCGAACGAGGCGCGCGCGAGCGCTGACATGGGCAATCGCTGGGCGCGTCCAGCCACCCCAGCGGTCATGAGCGAAGATAGTTGGTGGCGAGGTGATGGTCACCATGACCATCACCTCGCCGTGGATTGACGAGGTGATGGTCACCATCACCTCGTCATCCATCGACGTCGGCTGCGATCGAGGTGGTCGCGAATCGGGCCACCCAAACTGGTACGCCCAGCGCCTCATGGGCCGCGTGGGAGGTCAGGACGAGGTGGGCTGGAAGAGGGGGGGAGGGCCTGGATGAGGGGGCAAGGCGTTATGCATCACCATCTTACCGTCACCATTTGGGCTCGTAGCGCATAGGTGCAATCGATATCGAAGCGCGTCCGCATCGTCATCGCCATGGCGAGCGCGGCGGCGGCACCCACCGCAAGGGCGTCGTGTCTCGCCACCTTCAAGGGCGTCGTCGACTTCGCGCGGGCGGTGACCGCCCAGATGGAGGATGCGGATCGGGCCCAGGTGATCGAGCGCCAGGTCGCCCACGTGAAGATGATCGCCCGTCGTGGTGGTTGCGCCGGGGATGACGCGACTCAGACCGTACACGCCATCAACGCGACGGACATCCTCACGGCCGCCCAGAAGCGCGAGCTGATAACTGCAGTAACGGAGTCGGTGACGATGGACATCGCCATGACGGGCAAGCGTGACGGGCGTAACTTCAACGTGCAGTACCAGACGCACCAGTACCCAGAGCACTGCCTGACGACGGAGATGTGGGCGCTGCTACAGGACCCCCACCTGGGGGTCGAGGCGAAGCTCGATAAGGTTGGCGAGTACTTCGTGCACACCCTCGGCCTGCGCTACCCCGACCAGAAGACGGTGCCTCGCTTGGCCGCCCTCGTGGTCGCGAGCGAGATCGCCGCGGGTCGGGGGCCTGCGCCCGCGCAGGCGTTCGAGAACAAGAACCAGCTCAAGGACTCGACATCGACATCGCATGCACTCGACGTCGAACGCGCGACCCCCGCATCGAGCGCCCAGGTCTCAGCATCGGGGTCGGGGGTTCTATGGGCAGGATCAGGGGGAGAAGGTGGGTGAGGAGGAGGAAGAGGCGACGTCGATATCGAGAGGCCCCGAACGTGTCGACATCGAGTAACCACTATCACCCACACTCTCGTTCTCTCCCCATCCCCACTGCCCCCTCCCTCTCCGTCCACATCGCCATCTCATGTTTCGGGCCGAGGTTTTCACCCAGCTGTTTTCAAGTTGTTGCCCCGCCTTTAATTGAATTTGTTGGCGATCCAGAGCCTCAACCATACGACCCCGCTCCCCCTAGGGCACCCCACGGGGCTACATGCTCGAGGCTGGGCGCCCGATGGGGGTCGCGTGCGGCCCAGAGGAGCAGATCAAGAAGAAA